GGATGACTTTTGAGAGCTTTAGGGATCTGGTGAGACTAGCAATGATTTTGCTGAGATAGAGCTATAGACAAAGACTCTTTTTTTCTTATATAGAGAAGAAGCCATGTGAAGGCAGAGCTAGGAGGAGGGTAAGTGGTATTCTTGGGCTTCGCCCTGGAGTGTAAATGTTGGTCAGGTGCAAGGAAGAGGAAGAGACCTTTCAGAGAGAGAGAGGAGAACAGAAGCGCTGCACATCAGCCTTGATTGCTGAGCAGAGGGGGTGTTGGGAGGGGTGGCCAAGGTCTGGGTGGTCAGAGCTAGACCACAGTGAGGTCACTGAGGAACCTACTACACTCTGGAGGTCAGATTTTTTTCTCTGAGGGGATGGAGACTGGAAAGAGACCTTGAATAGGGGAGAGGATGGTCAGAATTGCCAAAGTTACTTTTTAGAAAGTTCATTTTGAGAGAAAGCAGAGAAGGAATTGAAGTCTAAGGGCAAGAAGTTGATTCTGTTTCTCTTTGCATTTACCCAGCTCTCCACTCACTCTTCCATCTTCCCATCTATCTGTAGTAGAATGTCTAGTTCTAAGAACAAGCGCTTAAATCAGTTAGGTCTGTGGTTTAAATTCTGTCCTGCCACTCACTTATCTGTGTGTTTTTTGGGCAAATTATTGAATCTGTCCAGAATTCAAATTTGTCACCTAGAAAAGCAGAACTAATAACAATGTCCATTAAAATGTCATAGGTAGGTTGGGAGGGTTACATTTAATAATGCTTAATAAATGCTAGGTGCTGTGCCAGGAGCTCATAAACACTCAATAACTTTTAAACTTTTATCACTATTACAGATTAAAGGCACATATTTGGAAGCTGTCCTGATACTGGGGGATTGATAGAGCCGTAGGCATATCTTAGCAAGGATGAGATTCAATTTAGAGATATTTACTGAACACACAATACCTGCAGAGCATCATGCTGGGCAGCCTGGGGGGTCTGCAGGTTTATGTCTCCAGGAACCTGTAAGTCCTCAAGGGAACAGACATAGTGTGTAAGTGCTTTAGTCAGTTTGTTTTATTTTGTTTTGTTTTTGTTTTTATTTTTGGTACCCGGGAATGGAATTCCTGACCTCGCGCTTGCCAGGCAGGCACTGTGCCTTTGAGCTATATCCTCAGCCTGCTGTAGTCAGTTTGATGGTAGAGGTTTTAGCAAAGTTTATTTTGGAGAAGGTGAGGTTTGAGAAGGTCTTCATAGTGAGCATGCTCTAGTCAGTAAAGAAAGAGGGAAAGACTTTTCAGGCCCTGCTCCTAAGATACAAGGAGGTCTGGAAGCAGGAGTGAGGGTGTATGCTGAGACCAGGAGCAAGTGCAAAGGGCACCATTCAGAAAGCCCTCGAGGGACTATACAGAGAGAGGTAGTGAAATGCAGATAGTGCTTTATTTTGATTAGATAACTTTATGTTCCATTTTGAAGATTTTATGCTTTAATATGGGTGCTACTAGGGAGCAGAGAGTTTTTTGGCTTCTTTTGTTGTTTGTTTTGAGACAGGGTCTTGCTATGCAGTTCAGGTTGGCCTCGGACCCTCAGCCATTCCCCTGCCTCAGCCTCCCAAGTGCTGGGATTACAGGTCTCTGCCACCATGCCGGCTGGGCTTATATTTAGATTTAATGGCAAATGTGAAGACTGTGGAAAGGAGATGAAGAAAACGACTTAAGACTGTCCTGATCCTTATTTTTTGGTCTTTTTGAGACAGGGTCTCGCTATGCAGTTCAGGCTGGCCTTGAGCCCATTTTGTAGCCCAGGCTGATTGTGAACTTGCAACGATCCTCCTGCCTCAGCCTCCCAAGTGCTCCACCACACCCAGCTTCTGATCCATTTTTTGCTGCTAAACAGAATACCACACACAGAGTAATTCATAGGCAATAGGAGTTTATTTAGGTCCTTGTTCAGAAGTCTGGGAAGTCCAGAAGTGTGGTTCTAGCCTCTGGTGAGCTTTATCCCATGGTGGAAGGTGCCCCTTTATCCCAAAGGGGCAGCCAGTGCACACAAATCAAAGAGAGGAGGCAAGAGAGGATTGGCCATACAGCAGACCCACCCCCACACTGACTAACCCCCTCTGCCCCTGCAGTAATGCCTTTAGTCTGCTCGTGTGGCCAGAGTCCTTAGGACCTTATCACCTCGTCAAGGTTCCATCCCTTCATACCACTTCATACCCTTCATACCTCTGAGTTTTGCAGGCAACATTCAAACCCCAGCAAAGCCTGCTGGAAGAATCTAGGCAAGAGCCCTTGAGGACCTGAGCTAGGACTCCGGAGGAGGAAATGAAGCATGGGATAAGGAGCTCCACGGAAATAGAATTGCTGGGGCTTGGTGACTTGCTTTTTTAGGGGGTGAGATGGAAGGAATGGGTTTGCAGCCTGAGAGACTAGGAGATGGTGCTGCCGCTGAGAGTGGGCAGCAGCGGGAGAAAGTCTGAGAAGAAAGACAGCCAGCTGTTTGGAATCCAAGGCACTCACACGATGGCCATCTGGAGGAATCGTCTACCTGGCAGCAGATCGTTGGGCCAGGCTAGTGGGTGCGAGCACAGCCAGTAGCAGGGGAGTCTCTGCCTAGCGGCCAGGTTGAAGTCAGAGAAACAGAGATGGACAGGGAGGGGAAGGACTGACGAGAGGAGTGAGTGAGGGAGACAGAAAGCTGGATAGAAGAGAAGGGTGCTTGTTGTCTGAGAGGTTTTTAACCACATGGATGTTCAGTGGCCTTAAGAGCACAAAGAGACCATCTAAGCTGTACATTGGCAGGTGTGTCAAAGGCAGAGCTTTCGTTACACATGTCCATGATATCTGCTGAAGTGGACCGCCAGGCAGTGAGGAATTGCATGGCCATTGTGATCCCTGAGAGAGATGCATGTTGCTTTGGTAGTTGGAGTCAGTTTCCTCCACCTTGAAAACTTTTCCCCACTTCTCCTCAACCAGTTTGGCTGGTGAGTCTGGAGGGATTCTGAGCTTGGGGAAGGAAAAAAACTCGAGCTTCTTTCCATTTCAGGGTGTGGAATTAGCGTGTGTGAAGATGGTCCTTATTTATCTAAGGAAGAACTGGGAAGGGCTGCGGGTTCTTTTGTTAGAGAGGGACACGGGCTTGGTTGTAGTTTTTTTTTTTTTTTTTGAGTAAATCCATTGAGATAAGGGAGTTGGATTCCTGGTTGTTCTCCAGGAATGTAATCCTAGAAGACAATTTCAATCTTGAGGACCTGGCTATGGGCTGGAATTGGTTCAAGACAAAGGAGGCTCCCCCTGGACAGGTGAGTCAGCACCTGACCCCAAGGCAGGTGAGCTGTGGAGCCTGTTGCTGGGGTCTCCTGAGGACTCTCCAGATGGCAGGGTTCGGGGGAGGGGGTCTGCTTCTCATCAGTCCCTAGGCTTGGCTTCTCCAACTGAAGCAAAGGAACATAACTCCCTTTCTTGAGGGGCTTATGGGGCTGAATGAGTTGAGAGTCAGAAGACAAAGCCTGGTGGGGAATGCAAAGGGAAACTGAGCCTCTTTGGAGAAAGGCATCTTGGATTTCCCCAAAATGACAGTTATCATTGGTGTGTTATACATTATATTTTTAAATGCACGTTTTGTTTTGGGATGAAGCAAAACCATGAACCCTACTTTCCTCCATACATTCTCTGATTGCATTTGCTTTCTCTTCTCTAGCCTCCTTTTTTCCCTTTTCTCTGTCGGTTTTCCTCCAGAAGGTGCAGCAGTGCTTCCATTCCCAGCTGCCCTCTTCCCCATACTTGCAGGTTTGGGCTTTGGGGCCTTTTTGCCCTCTGTCTGCCCAGGATGTCCAAGTAGAAGATTTGGCTGAAGAGGCTTGGTTTTCTTTGCAAATGGATCCACCTGGTTGCAGCTGGATCTTCATGCAAATGTCACTGTCCACTCCCTGGGGAGCGCTGGGTGTGGCTTCCTGAGAGTGACCCCCTGGGTGTTCAGGAAGCCTGCCCTTGCTGCTGAGTAGGTGGGTAGGACACTCATCCAACCCATCTTGAGCTTCTTCGGCTTTCCAGTCTCATATTTCCTGTCCTTTCCATTTCCCCTTCCTCTTCCTGATTAGCCTTTCCCATCTCCTTTTCTTGCATTCTCTTGAAACAGAGCAAACACCTGCTGGAAATGCACTTGTGTTCAATTTCTACCTGTTTTTTTCTTCACTTCTTTTTCTACACTCCTTTTCAAATCTAGAGCATTGAAAACAAGCTCTAGATTAAATAGTAATTATGTTTTCAGATTGTAAGCCTAGGTCTAGTTGGATTTGATGCTGGGAGAAGTTTAAGGTACTTGCTGGAAATGAGTTTGGGGAAGGTGGACGCGACCTTCCCCCTCAGCAGAGGAGGTGGGAGCCAGCATGTCTTATGGCGAAATTACGTGGTGGGGGTGAGTTACAGTAGAAGAACCAAGTTTTGTGTCTAGGCCCTGTGTGATCAGAGGATACTTCTGTCTCTGTCACGCACTGGTGGTTCATTTCTACATGGGGATTGTGGCACTTGCCGTTATGATCTTGGTGGAATGTTTTAAGAACCCAGTGAAATAATACATATGCGTTTTACAGAGGATATAACTGTTATTATTTTTAATAAAAGTATCATGTACGTAACATGTACCAAAAGAACAGATGGTATTGGGTGATTCCCAATGAGTCTTTCAGAAATTAAATCGTTTGACAACTTTTGGCGTGTAATAGGCACTCACGAATAATTGAATGGATGGATAGATGGGTAGATGGGTGTCTAAATGTTAGTTGCCCTCCTTGCCCTTTCCTTTTCCAGTTTCCCTTTCCACGTTGGCACCACTGCCCTCTCCTGGCCAGCAACAGTATTAGGGGGCAATAAGTCCATAGCTGGGCCCCTTTCCCCCATGTCTCCCCAGCCCCTTGCCCAGGCTCCCTGAGCTGGCTCCTTTGCTCCTGTCTTTGGCCTGCGATTACTGACTGCCTGGCTTTCCTCCCTTCCCTCTCCCCCACTCCCTCTTTCCATCTGCCCTTGCAGCACTGCCAGTAACTCCAACCGCAGCACACCAGCCTGCTCCCCGATCCTCCGGAAGCGGTCTCGCTCACCAACCCCACAGAACCAGGACGGAGACACCATGGTGGAGAAGGGCTCAGATCACTCCTCGGACAAGTCCCCGTCCACCCCGGAGCAGGGCGTGCAGCGCAGCTGCTCCTCACAGTCTGGCCGGAGCGGTGGCAAAAATTCCAAGGTGAGCTGGGCTCTGTGCCTTCCTGTTAACTCTCTCTGAGAAGCTGGGATGGTGGGCTTGGGAAGGTAGACAGCTTCCCCATGCTATGTCCTGGTATCCCAGAGATAGTGTTTATTCCATAGGGCCTGGCACTAGTAAGATGATTCCCTGCCTGCCCTTGTCACTTTAGGAACTGAGGAGCCCCTTGTCTTCTGGGATCTAGAAGAGAGATGCTCTGGGGATCAGGAAGGGTCATCTATTTGTTCCTGCTATACTCAAATTTGGATCCAAGAGCTGGAGGAACAGGGAACATTATTTGGGACAGCTGTATTGCCAGTGGGAGGATCTCCAGGGAACCTTCCAGAGTGCTACATTTCACCTCTTCCCTGCCCATCATCCTGCCTTACCTTTATACTGACCCACTCAGTGCTCCTCTGCCAGAGAGGACAGCAACAAGGCCCTTTGCATCCCTCCCAAATGGGTCCACGCCACCTGAGCACCCTCCTGCACACCAGGACCCATTCCAGGGTCATGCACCAAGGCCTGCACAAGCTCTGGTTTCCCAGAAGACCCTCTCCCACACCCAGGCTCTGGGAAGCAGGACATGTCACTGCCCAGGTCCTCCTTGAAGAAGCTTTACTTTTATCAGCAGACTTATAGGGCTTGGGAGGGGCTGGGGACCCCAAGGGGCATGGGAGTGGTTTCCCACCTGAATTTGTCTTTTGATTTCTTGTTCTCCCTCTTCTTCCCTACCACTTCCCAAATACCTTCTTTGCATGCATGGTCTTAGTCTCACAAGCGCCTCTCAAAAGTAAGCCATCTTTTGTCTGTCTTTTTCTTATCTCCCCTCTAGTGTCGAATTGTCTGTAGTGCTCAGCATCCCTGCCCTCTGCCCCCGCCACTTCTGCCCATATGTCCTGCTTGGTCCCTTTCCCAGAAGGGCCGGTCTCACTCCCCACTGGCAGGCTGGCATGGAGTCACTGAGGGACCATTCCCACTGTACTCAGTGTCGGAGAATAGACCCTATCCCTCCTCCCTGTGTCTGCCTGCTTCCCAAACACTGCTTCTGGTGGGAATTAACTCCCCCATAGATGGTACCTTCTAGAAGCAGAGTCCCACAGGGGTCCTGTCATTCCTTCGGGGGTGGGAGGCCCCATCTGGTCATATTGCTGGTCCCTAAGCTCTCTTGGTGGGTGATCACAGCTTCCCTGGCAGGAGTGACTGGAAATTGGCAGGAGGGATGCACTGATGTAGGGTCAGGAATTCAGAGCCATAAATTCCCTGGTGCAGGAGTAATAACCCAGGTATTATGACTGGTACACTCCTTTTCTCCACCCGAGAGCTACTCAGCCATGGCCCACTTTAATGTTCCACCCACTACCCAGTCCCAGGCTCATGGGGTTCTTAGGACCTTGGCCTTTGATCAAAGCACGTCTGTGCCAGCACCTGGAGGTTGGCGATGGTCGACAGTAACCCCTTCTAGGACCTGGAGAATCAAGAGCAGCTTGGGAAGACAGTGCTAGCATCTTCCTCCAACCCCAGGATCTCAGAGGGCTGAAGTGGGTGGTGAGCAATGGTTATTGTAGACAGTAGGGCTCAGGAAGTCTTCTCATGGGGAAGGGTTACAGCTGGGAGAAGAAGAAGCAGAAGAATGACTTATAATACCTGCGGGCCTTGGGGAGGAGGAGGACCAGCTGTTCTTCCCTGAGGGAAGAACAAGAGGCTACACAGCCAAGCCTGCAGGATGTGACCTTCAGACTAAAAGCATACTGTGTCTGTGAGGATTTTCAATGGCTGCGGTGAGCTGTGGGCAGGCAAGGAGAAATGAGCCGGAGTGAGGCAGCAGGAGGAGCTCTCCCTGGGGTCAGGCGGCTGGGCAGGTGCAGGCACAGCTGATGTCAGGACCAGCATTTGATGTGACTGGTGTTCCCTTCTGAGCGCTCAGACCTCTCTGCCTGGGTTGATATAGGAACTGGGGGTGAGGGGCTGGCCGAGGAGAGGGTGTGTGCGGCTAAGCATGGATTATTCCTGCTCTCTGCTTCTGCCCAGAGTCTGAGCACATTTTCCATTCTAACTTTCCTTTATGCTTAGCGAGGTGCTCAGTGGGTAGAACAGTACTGATCAGCGGTTGTCACTAGTCACCACTTAGAAGTGTGTGTGCTTTGGCCAGGGGATGGGCTTGAGGAAGGGGAATATCCAGTGATGAGGGTTGATTTTAATCTCTGGAATGGTAGGTCTTTTTGTGGTGGGAGGAGGGAGAGAGACAAGGTCCCATGATATAGAACCTATGAGGATAGCCTGTCCAGTCCAGGAGCCATAGCCATTGTGGTCTGCGAGGTGTAGACGGTATAGTCTGGCAAATGTAGACTGAGTCACCCAAATTATCCACAAACCAGACTTCACTTAGAGCCACACAGGAAGCTCAGGGAAGCATTCAAATTCTGAGGCAGGAGAAGTCATTTGTGAGTTGGGGTAGCAAGGACACATCTCAGGGAACGAGTGGATTTCAGGATTGGCTTTGGAGAGACATTATGAAAGGACCAGGCATTGAATGTGCAGTGACAGCTAACTTGACCCCTTTCCTGAGGCGCTGAGCAAGGAGATACCCGCAGGAATGAGGTTTTCCGTCCCTTTGAAAAGCTGCGGTTTGAGCACAGCCGTCCCGTGTAGGCATATTCACTGAATCACTACCGTCCTCTAAGTGCAGTGGAAATAGGACTGGCTTGTGCGGGAAAGGGTTCTGTCCCTCCCCAGGCAGACTTGTGAGCAGCTGTGGTTAGTCAAGGGCACACAAGTGCAGGACACAGACCACGGAGCAGAAACATGGGAACCAGTGCAGGAAGCAGGTTCCACGCCGGCCAGTGTGGTTGGCATACGCTGTTCTCTGCTCACTGTGGACCGTCCTCTTAGGTTGACCAGATGTATCCACGGCAAGGGACATAAGAGCCACAGTTGCCAGGGCTACACTCGTAGTGAGGCCATCTCACTCTCTGACCCCATTCACCGTGAGAAGGGACCACCCGTGCATTTCTCAGGCAAGCTGGAAAATGCTTCCTCTTCTCCCTGGTGTGAGGCCCCATGTGCAGGTTCCTTTTTCTTCTCTGGTTTTCATTTCTTCATTAGTTATATGTGAGGCCCAGACATGACAATCCCCAAGGCTGCAACCTGTTGAGCTTCAATTCTGTCGTCCGGCTGACCCTAACTTCTGCCTGGGGGCTGTCTTCCTCTCCTAGGAATCCCTGCGTTTGTCCACCACCCAGGGGATACTCAGTAGTGATAGTCTGTGGCCACCAGAGGGAGCCTAGGCTCCCTGGCCCGCTCCTTCCCAGAAGGTCCTGACAGCCAACCTGCCCCGCTAGGCAGCGCCAGGTAGATGGAATAACAGATCCTGGGCTTTGGCCCTGCAGTGCCCTCTCTGTGGACACACGATGGCACCCTCATGCTGTGGCGCTAGCTCTCCTTTGACCTTTCTCCTTTTATTTTATTTTTCTCAATTCTAATTTTTGTGGTTTTCTTTTCAGTATGACAAACTTAACCTGATCAAAGTAAGAAGTTGTTTTTTCTCCCTAACTCCTAAATGTAGCGCTCTTAGTCTCCCCCACCATGCCCCCTCCCCATTTTCTGCACCCCCTGTGCCTTTGCTCTGAGAGGTATCTGTGGTCATGGGGACGGGAAACTATGTCAAGGTGAAAGGTCTGCTTCCAGGGCTTTGCTTTCCTTTCGTCCTTGCTCCTCAGCCACTGTGTAGGAGAAGGCAGTGGGAACTTCTGGCTTGCTTCCCACTGCCAGTAGGTCTGTCTTTGTTCCTACTTCCTCCTCCCCTTCGTCCAAATCTGCTCATGAGCTGTCAGAAGCCCTCACCTCCTCTCGTCAGTCCCTTCTTTCCCTCTGACTCTGCTCTCCAGGGAGGGGCGTTGCAATGGAACAGCAGGGCCAGCAGCCTCCCTGTCCTGCTGTCCCACATACCCTATCAGGCAGCTGCTTCAGGGCCAAGCTCGGGAATGCAAAGCCATGAAGATGTAATGCACCTTCCAGAGGGTCCTGGCCTGGGCAGTCTCCGGACTGGTGTGGGTTTTTCCGGAGGTGTGGGTGCCCATTTGTCCTAGAGGCACTCTCAGTGGTGGCAGCATGTAATCTGCTGCCCAAAGCTGAGTGGTGAGGGGCACAGCCTCTGATAGCCTTGCTAGTGGATAGTGTCATTCACATTTCTTTTGAGTACTGAGACTGCTTGTTCTTACCTACCCTTCACGCAAGAGCAAATATTGCATAGGGCTAGTCAGAGATGGGATGCAGATTTTCTGGTTGGGGCTCTTGGTGACCTCAGAGTTCTTTGTTCCAAATAGACTTAGAAGGGACAAGCGTCTGAATACCAGTACATAGAAAGGGCAAATCTACTTCTGTTCACACAGTGTAGGATGGAGGGTACTGTGTCAGCTTCACTGAGGCTCTTGGTAGCTCCCTGATCCCACCCAGGTTTTATTAATTATTTCCCTCCTAGGGTCTTATAGGAAGCCCAAGACAAGGGATGAGGTGATGGTGTGGGAGATAACTTTTTTCAGCTGTGAAGCAAGGATATGCTGGTTTGGGTTTAATGAAGTACCAGGAACCAGTGGGGCTGCTTAGGTATCAGGTCCCAGACTGTACTTCCTGCTGCTGGAAAGTGCATTGTAATGAACATCTGCACAGCCCCAAGCCTCTGGTCTCATAGTCAGCACTTCTCTGTGAAGACCCAGGAAGTGAGAAGTGCCGAGATGCAGGTCTAGTTAGATGCAGCCTGCTGGCCTCATCTGCCCTCTTTCAGAGGGGGCAGCCTTAGGTGCCATGCTAGAGGGAGTTGTAAGCCCAAGATTCCTATGAGGCACCCCCACCCCATGCTAAAGTAATGAACTTGAATCTCTGCATTTGGCCCTTTGTGTACTAAGGGCTCTGAATCAGAGGAGAGTATGACACTAGAGTAGGAGTACATGACTTCCAGATTAAGCTATGATGACAGCCTGTTTGGGAAATGACCATGGAGAGCTCTCGCAGAGGGGGACTGGGAGCCTGCCTTGCCCTCTACTCACTGGGCACAGTCTGGCCAGTGAGGGTGGGGAGAGAGGCAGTACTTCCCGTGCCTAACCGACCTCTACGGCCTGTCCCCACTATCACTGCTGACACTGGCCACCTTCAGAATATAGGGCCAAAGTGGCTTCAGAGTTCTTCTGGAGAGGGGAGACAGATCTGGTGACCATCCGGTCATTGCTGTGGTCACACTCGCCCAGACTCTGGTGTACCTTGCTTGACATTTGCAAAGCAATTGTACTGAGATACGGACTACCTTCCTCTGCCCCCTTAATACCAGGGGGAGGGGTTAGAGGTTCCGACTTGTGCACGGGATCCACATCACTAGCTCTAGCTGAAGTTGTGACCAGTAGGTGAAGTTTCTGTCACCCTAGTTGGATATACCTAAAGGAGTTCTGTCTGTACAGTTTGGAGGTAAACAAGGCACAGTATAACCGTCCCTCCTCCTTCCCTGAGAAATCTTCAGATTCTGTTTTTCTTCTGGGCTGGGAATGGGGAACTTCTCGATTCTGGAGCTAGGGTGGAATCTGGCTTTGCTGCCATTGAATTATGACACCACAGGATTGGACAGGACCATTGTAGACTTCACCCTTCCTCTTCATGCAAAACCCCCAGATGTTTTTTGGTAATTACCACTTATACAATCAATCAGTTCATGGGGTCCGAGGAGGTATTACTCATCAGTAGCTGAGAACATGGGGGGAGGGTGATTTTAGGCAGCTCTTTGCCCTGCACAGAAGAGTCCCACCCTGCCTTCCCCAGAGGGGTGACCTGGGGCACAGGGCTGGGTTGGTCTCTGTCTGTACTTTGCTTCTGGTCAGGTCCCATTTGGGGACTGCATCTGGGATGCCTATAGCGCATCCCACACCCCCATCAGAAGAACCTTGTGATGGGGCTCTGATTCCCGGCTGAGCGCTAGCTGGTATTGCCACTGCCTGCCCCCCTAGCCCCCCAGCCGTGGTGGGGCTTCCAGCATGGACTGCTCCCTGGGCCTCCTTTCTAGGGCTGTCTTGAGAAAGGAGGACCCCTCCAGAGCAGCGACATGGGAAGCATTCAGCTGCATTTGGGTTCCTCCTCCCTGCCCACCCTCTGCTATCTGTGTAACCTGCCCTCTGGGACCAGGAGTACGCTGGCCATTCCCAGTGCCTCTTCCCTGACTAACTTTACTCTTTGTTTCATTTTGTCTTTTCAGAAAAGCCAGAGCTGGTACAATGTAAGTACTCCTGTTTTGCTTCTTTGTTGGGTAACTGTCAAGAGGGTGGAGACAGAGGTGGGTGGGACAGGAGCGCAGTGTATACTTTGAGTCCCCCACGGGCTCCTCCTTTTGTTAGCTTCCCAATTCTCCAGGCCAGATACAATAGACGTCCTCTGTAGCATGGCAGGCCAGCCCTGGTGAGGGAGGATTTAATTCAGGGAAATGGGGGCTAGAGGGAATGGCCTTCCTTAACCCCTGCCTCGTTTCTCGTTCTGGACAAGAACCTTCTAATCCTAAAGCAGGAGCACAGTCGGGTAGGACTGGACATTTCAAGGCCAGATAGAATTCTGGGCCTGGGGCAGCCTTCGAGTGTGAATTTAGGGACAAAGTTTCCATCTGTTAAAGACATCTTGGGGAAGATGCAGCCCAAAGATGTTCCCTCTTTAGCTGAGAGCTGTCTGTGTAATGGAGTTTGCCTTCTGCCCACAACACACCCACCATAGCCCCCAAAGTGTGCTCCATCTAGTAGATATTCACTGCCCTTGGGTCTGTGTGAAGGTGTTGTGGGGACCGTTTCTAGCGATCACATGGTGGCATCCAGCTGCTCCACACCTGAGAGTGCCTTTTGGAGTAAAGGCATCATCCCCTTGGTCATGTAGACTGGACTGTGGGACTTTAAACTCTTCCCCCAATGAGCACCTGGCTGCAGCCACTCACCTGGCCCTGGCCACATGCATGCTGCCCCCTGAGACTGCCCAACGACAGAGCTGGCATTGTGTACCATGGCCTGGCGTCATCCACTCCTCTTCCCTTCTCTGAGCCTGCTTGACTTCTCGGCTCTGATGGGGCATTGCCATCTTTCCCCCCCTCTGCCCCATCGGTGGCATGGGCATGGAGCAGCGTGGGGGAGGTGGCTATGAGTGATGGCTTTGGAAGGTGGAGAGGGAGGGACTTGGAAAAAGTGTTGGGTTTAATGTGGGGCTGGGGTCTAAACTGGTGTGTTTTCTTTCATGGTGCCTGGCAGTTCCTTGATATCAGGCACAAGCTAACTCATCCGTGGCTTGCTACCTCTTACTACTCTGTGGCTGCCTGTCTCGGGTGTCTCCCCACCCATTTTTCTGTGGTACTGTGATTTGAGCTCAGGGCACTCTCAGTGAGCTACCTCCCCAGCCCTTTATCTTTTATTTTGAGAAAAGGGTCTCACTGAGTTGCTTAAACTAGGCTGGAACATGTGATCCTCCTGCCTCAGCCTCCCAGAGTGCTGGAATTATAACCATGTGCCACCATACCTTGCTAATGTCCTGAGCACTTTCTGATAGATTTGCTGCCTCAGCCCCAGGTAGGCTGTGCTGATAGGAAGGAGTTGAAGATTAGGAAGCCAAGAATGGGAGAGAAGCTGGACAGCTCATACCTGCTCCCCACCTGGACCCACCAGGGGTCACCTGTCCTCTGAGCTTCCAGGCTGGTCAGGGCTCAAACCCAAGGACCAAGGGAAGCCCTCCTGGGCAAGGGGAGTAGTAGGGAAAGCTGTGGACCCACCCTCTGGCGCTGTCCATGGCCCACCTGTTTTGAGGACTCCTATTTTGAGGACTTCAACAGCTGATCCATTTTGGGGGCAACATGGCCAGAATGAGTGCCCCTGAAGGGGAGCAGAAAACACACCGCTGTGGGTCTGGTAGGCAGCAAAACCAGTCCAGACTCGGCCACCCAAATCCTTGTCCTGGCGGCCAGTGTCCTGTGCCCTCTTCTTTCTGTCGCTCTCTAGCTCAGCCGTTTCTGTTTCATCTTTCTTTCCCCCTATTGTGTTTTTCTCTACCCTTTGCTTTCCGACTACTTTTTTTCCCTCCCTCTCATTTGCTTCTCCCTCCTCTGGTTCTGGTTCCTGTTCTTCTTACTGGCTTTTTCTTTCTGCCTGACAAGTGTTACCACCCCTGCCCTTTTCTCCCTTTCTTTCTTTCTTTCTTTCTTTCTTTCTTTCTTTCTTTCTTTCTTTCTTTCTTTCTTTCTTTCT